ATTTTCTGACACCAGAAAGAAAAGAAATTTACTAAGCAAAAGAATGAATACCTCTTAAAAGGAGATAATTTACAGTGAAACAATGAGTTGTCATGCACCGATTAATATTCTACTGGTAGAGCTAAATTAGTAGAAATGCTAGTAGAAACAGAAGACATACTTATAATTGAAGGCTAACATAACTCGATAAGGGAAAAATAAGCAAGACTAAACAGAGAACTTACATTTTTTTTGCCATTGCCTGTGGCATTAAAAAAATAAATGAAAGAACCACAGAAATATCTAACTCAATTTTACCAATATTTACTGGGTAGGTTTTATATACCAGGCACTCTATTAAGTAAAGGTAATATGATGCTAAATAAGACATTTGTTAATAATACAAAAGATAAGATATTTGGTAGGAGGCTGGCATTATTTGTGTGTATGAGTGTGTGTGTACATACAAATATCATCCTCCTTTTTGTGTGAGTGTATGTGTACGTATAAACACACAGTCAATAATATACACTCAATATACAGTCTCTCTCCATATATATATATATATATATATATATATACATACACACAAATATATACATATATGCATATGTATATTCTTTGTGTCTTTATTTTTGTATATTAGTTATCCTTGGAAACTTGTAGATTTGAACTTGGGATCAGGTCTACAGACATCTTTTTGTCATTGAAATGTCACTTAGTCACAGAATTATCTATGGCATCACGGAAAATAATTCATCCTTATTCATGCTATACATTCTTTCAGGCTCTAAAACCTACCATTCCTATTTAGCATTTTAAACTCACACTCTTAATTTTGTGGCACACCAGTGGTGTCCCTGGTAGGTGGATAGAATTTGGCAAATTTCATAATGGCTCTTCAAGTCTCACTTATTAAGTGTTTTGAAGTGTCTGAAATAATTAGATATATTAAATTTGTAATTGTAATCTTAAGTGTCATGAGAATTTAATGAAATTTTTAAATGGTGTTAGATGGTTAGGAAAATTCAATCTATCAAATTTAAAAGATAATTGAACATAAACCAAAGAACAAGTAAACACTTCAGTGTTTTTAATTCTATCAAAAAACTTATTTCTTTGTAGACCTATTTTAGCCCCCAACTGGGTGATGGGATTTTCAAGCACTTGCATTGGCTTGCATCCAACATGCCCTATGCACAGTGTTGCAGAATGTACCATCTGGAAAGGTGTCAGCTGACAATACTGTGTGCCACTTCTTGAGGAGTCTGGTTACCCAAGTAGCCAAGGTAGTTCCCCATGACTTTGAGACCATGCTCAACAGCAACATCAATGACCCCCTGATGGTAACCTACCTGTCCAGTCTCAAACAGTAACAGATTGCCTGCAGGGAGAAACTTATAAACCTGTGAATGGGCCGCAAGCAGAACTCCTGCCAGTCTGGGGCACCCTAGGACTCAGAATGGAGTGACCTAAAATGGTTTCTTTGTGCTTTGAGTCACACTGAGTCAGTCAACTGCTTGTGACTCTTAATAAATATAGCCTGCCTACTCTCCACAATAGCTAAAACATGGAAAGAGCCTAAGTGTCCATCAACCGATGAATGGATCAAGAAGATGTGGTTTATCTATACCATGGAATACTACATGGCAATGAGAAACAATGAAATCTGGCCATGTGTAGCAACATGGATGGACCTTGAGGGTGTTATGCTGAGTGAAATAAGTCAGGCAGAGAAGGACAAATATCATATGTTTGCACGTATAGGAGGATTAGGAGGAACTTGATGGAGGAACAAGGGGGAGAAGAAGGGCGGAAATGGTGGGGGAAAGGGAGAGAGGCAAACCATGAGAGACTCTTGAATGCTGACAAAAACTGAGGACTGATGGATGTGGGGGGAGGGGATGGGCATGGAGGAGGACACTTGTGGGGATGAGCACTGAGTGTTACGTGGAAACTAATTTGACAATAAACTATTTGTAAAAAAAAAAAAAAAAGAAAAAAAGAAAGAACAAAGCTGACGGGAGTACTGGGTAGTGACCTAGAATCATTCACTAGGTAAAGGACTGTCTCAACTCACATTGTGTGATCAAATTTATGTCTCAGCCAAATTAAAGATGACTGATGACAGAAAAAAATAAAAATAAAAAATAAATAAATAAATAAATATACCCTGCCTTTTGTGAATAAATAGGCTAATAAATAAATAAATAGATAGATAGATAAAATGAGATTTGCAGATGGAGTATAAGGCTTAAGACATACTATCTATTAGTTATAAGTATGATAAATTAATTATTAAAATACAAATAAGCAGAAACATTAATTACTTCTGTAATAAGCACCATAAATATTTTTAAATATTTATGCAGAAGACCATGAGAGTATCTTAATATCCAAGAAATAATAGTGTAACTGAGCTAGGAATGTATATAATAGAGCATGTTTCTATTGCTTTGTCCCAATACTGAGGTCATATCCAGCATATGGTCATCTATCTCAAAATAGACATTGAGACATTACTAAAGATCTCCTAGGGACATAGAATAGAGCCTTTTAATAGCATAAACCAAAGCAGAAATTGAATTTACTACCCATTATATATCTTTTTAAACTCTCAATGTCTTATTTTTTCCAACCCATAACATTTCTCCTCTCTTTCCAACAGACTATAAATTTTCACTCATATCAGGAAAATGTAATGTTCCCCTTTGTTTAAGATAATCTCTCTTTCAAAACTATAGCAGTGCCTGACAGGACACTGAATAACTATTTTTTATTAAACATTGCCTTAGGAGAGACTTGTTCTCATGTCATTATGCTGATCAAAGCATTTACTTCACAAAACAACTTTTCCTGTGGGGAGGGAGGATTTGGCAGCTGATAAAAAAGGACTTTTCTATATCAGGAAAGTTTGAGCACCGACCTCCACAGAATGATCAGCCTGAATGTCAGGTTTCGATAAGATGTCATATGCTTCGATGTGAGAAATATTTGCTTTCATGCCAAATATAAGCCTAGAATGCTTTGAATTAGTTCTGTGAAATACATGTTAAGTTGATAATAGCTATTAGATATCACATTGTTTGAAATAGGAGCTTTTGAGGAATCTAGAGAATAATGTTGAATTTCAGAATAAGTCATGCCATTTGCAACAATGTGGATGGAACTAGAATGTATTATGCTAACCCCGAAATAAGTCAGTCAGAGAAAGATAAATATTGTATGATTTCACTCATATGTGAAATTTAAGAAACAAAACACATGAATATAGGGGAAGGGAAGGAAAATTAAGGTAAAAACTGAGAGAGAGGGAAACCATGAGACTCTTAAATACAGAGAACAAACTGAGGGTTGCTGGAGGGGTGTTGGGTGGGGTGATGGCCTAATGGGTGAGGGGCACTTCTGGGATGAAACCTGGATATCATATGTAAGTAATGATTCACTAAACTCTACTCCTGAAACCATTATTACATTCTATATCAATTAACTTGGATTTAAATCAAAAAAAGAAAAAAAAGAGAGGCCACAAACAGTAGCCACCAATAAAAGTACATTTTGTTTACCACCTACAGATGGTCTGAAGTACATTTGTTTGAAAAGTGAATGGTGTGAAGTCTAAATGAAGCATCACTGGTCAGAAATGACCTGTAGTATAGATTTTGGTTAGTAGGTTTTTAGATAATGAAAGCTACATAAACCCAAATTATATGATACGATAGAAAAGTGCTTAAGAAAATAAGACACTAATATATGTAGCATGATAACACTATTTAATGCCTCTACACTTCTCCAAGCCCAAAAGTATTTATAAATATATTCACAAATAGTTTATAGTTTATTAGCAGCTTATAAACAAATATATGTGTGCTTAATGCAACAGATTCTATGTATAATGTAACAGATTAAAAATAAATGACAGAAACAGGTTGAAGGGAAAATAATACCAGAGAAAGTAAAACACAGAAAATGTAAATCCATAAAAGGCATGGAAATTCTATCATCTAATGAAAAATAAGAATGATTTAAATCAGTATTTTCCGGGGCGCCTGGGTGGCTTAGTCGGTTAAGCGTCCGACTTTCGCTTAGGTCATGATCTCGCGGTTCGTGGGTTCGAGCCCCGCATCGGGCTCTCTGCTGACAGCCAGCTCAGAGCCTGGAGCCTGTTTCAGTCTGTGACTCCCTCTCTCTCTGACCCTACCTGCTCACGCTGTCTCTCTCTCTTTCTCTCCTAGAAATGAAATTAAAATAAATAAATAAATAAATACATTCAGCTTATTTAAAAAAATAAATAAATAAATTAGTATTTTCCTTGCCCTTAATTTTTACAGTTCATTCCAGGGCGAATAGGAACACAAAGTATACCTTAATGAGTCATTTGCATAAAAACAATTGGGGCAAGTCATAGGAACAGATTTTATAAAGGGGCAAATAATGTTATACAAATATTTAGATCATCGATGGTACGGCCTGATTCAGGGTTAATATTTAGTATCAGGAGAAAGAAGGAAACTGTGTTTACAACTCTGTTTAGAATCAACACCACATTATGTCTCTTAAATAATAAAAATAATAATAATAAATTAAAGGCAATAAACCAGACTATAGACAGCAATGTGTTTGAGTATTTACGTGGCAGCATATAGAGTGTTCTACTCTGAGTTTGTAACCGCCTGGTGTAACTAAGATAAAGCAAATATCTTTATGAAATAATCTGCTCTCCTTGAGTGTACATCATAAAACACCAGATGTACTGGTAATTTATAAAAATGATTTTTTAAATAATTAATGCAGAATTTTTATGGCAGTAATTGATAATTTAGCTAATTATAAATTATACATCTCAAATCCTATCATCTGTATGTAAGCATATTAGGCAGCATAGGGGTTACATAAAATCCTAGCCTGGATGCTATGGTCCCAGTCTCACCACTTATGAGCATAATGACATTCTAACACATGGATTGTTCTGTCTTAGTTCCTTTTTCTGTAATATTATTTCTTTTATTTTTAAAATTCTTGTGCTCACTTCGGCAGCATATATACCAAAACTGGAACTATGCAAAGAAGATCAGCATGGCCCCTGCGCAAGGATGACATGCAAATCCATGAAGCGTTCCATATTTAAAAAATAATAATAATAAAATAAATTAAAATAAAATTCTTATAAAAAATCAAAGGTTTATTATAGTGATTACATCAATCAATGTTTGTAAAGCTACTGGAATAATATGTAACTCACAGTAGGCATTTTGTTAATGTTAGTTATTATCTAAAGATGATATTAGATTCATGAAGAATATGCTTATTTTATCCCCAAAGTATCTTCATTACTTCACGAAACAAATCTAATTGTTTTACTAAGTTAGTAATAAAGAAACGAGTACAAAAATATAAAAAACAATTCATCTTAACAATGTTTTAAGGGCACATAAAATTATTCCTATTTTAAAATATATTTTTGAGCAATATTCATTAAAATCTGATAAATGGTTATAACCAGAGACAGGAATTTGAATGAGTTCAGGGATAATAGTTTTTTTCACATTCTAGCATATACTTCAAAAAAGTATTTTATTTTTCATTATTTCAACTATATTTTGTGTCTTTTCCTAGTCAAAATTATAATGTGTATGTGTGTGTGTGTGTGTGTGTGTGTGTGTGTGTGTGTTTGGAGAGAGACAGAATATCAAATATTAGGAAATAGATATTAGGAAAACTATAATTAAAGTGAGACAACACCAATTGTCCTGTCTTTAAGTCATAAACTCAATTATGTAAAACTAAGATGCTTTGCAGCAATTTTCTTTCTCTTTACACACACACACACACACACACACACACACACATGCACACAAACATATATACCATAACTACAGTAGTTCTATTTGGGTCTACAGTCAGTGCTTCATTCCATTAACGTCTTTATTTGCTAAACTCAGGAATTTTTGCCAGGAGTTAACTCAATTCTTTGCAAAGTATGGCTCCATAATCCAAACAAGTATTAGAAGGAAGGTTTTTCTGGTTGATAATGTGTTCAGGTGCCGCTCTTCCACAAATAGCACTGACTATATAATCTGGCTTTCAATCACTGGGGCAGCATCAGCATGGAATCATTCCCTGAAGGAAGTTTGCATTTCGTTCTGTCCCTGAAAGCGTATCGCACAGATAGGCTGAATAATGTTTATCTCCAAGGAAGCTCACAATTAAAATGATTAAGTGACATGCTCAATGTCTTACCAACATTGGAGTCAGGAAGGGAAGGCAGATATTCTGAAATTTAGTTCAGAATTGAAGGTCACTGTGTCATAATGGCTGTTTCTATGCAAGTGAGAAATAGTTATTTTCTCATTCATACTTTCAGAATTTCTCAGTGTTAACAAGAGAGCCACAGGCCCAAAATGGAACCACTTATGTCACTGAATGCCCCACATCAGCAAACCAAGACTTAATACCTAATCTAACTGTAGTTTAAACCCTCCCATCCCCCACTGCCCACCTACCCACCACCTTCATAAAGGTATTCTTTAACCAGTCAAAACAGGCAGCACCAGGAAATTTACTGGTAGACCCCGTCTGGTCCCCCTTAGGAAGGTGACCTTGCCTAAAACAATGCATCCTTTGCTAATAATTTCCTCTTTTCTTTTTCTCTGTCTTTAAAAACCTTTCTGCAGCTTGATGGAATTCCTTTCTATATGCAGAATAGGATGCCGGCCAATTCATGAATCTTTTAATAAAGCCAATTTGGGGGCACCTGGGTGGCTTAGTCAGTTAAGTGGTTGAGTGTCTGATTGTGGCTCAGGTCATGATCTCACAGTCCCTGAGTTCAAACCCTCCGTCAGCTGTGCAGACAGCTCAGGGCCTGGAGCCTGCTTCCCATTCTGTGTCTCCCTCTCTCTACCCCTCCCCAATAGTGCTCTGTCTCTCCCAAAAATAAAATAAAAACATAACAAATTAAAAAAAAAATAAAGCCTACTTGGTGTTTTAAATTACTGGAATTTAAAATTTGCATTTTTTAACAGATTTAGTGGCAGATTTAATAACTGATGGAGATAGCTTCAGAGCCAGTGAGAAACAGGCAGGATATCTGCAAATTCCCTTTTGAGTTCATCGTTTTTCTCACCATTTCCAAAGGCTGTGAGGTTAGTTCTCCCGGTTTTGAGCTCTGCTTTCTTCGTGTTGTGCTAAAGATCTCAGATCTATGGCTTTCCACTCCAAGTTTAATAGATCATTCTAGGATGACTGGAGGTTCTAATAGAATGCCAGTCAGCCTTTGGCTCAGTCTGCAATTCCACATCGGAATCCTTTCCTGATTCCAGTCCAAAGTCCCCACTGGTTAGCATTTACTGGCCTAGTCTTTCCACAGTTCCTCTCAGTCATCTCCAGTGGAATCTGCTGGTTTTGTCCACACTGGGGAGTGCCGATGGTATACAAAGGACCTTGTGTTGGCCAGCCCACGGTAATGCTAAACACTAGCCCTTGATTCTGTTCTCCAATTCCATGTGGGGAACCTCTGGTGGCATTTGTAGTTCTCCATTTATTTTGAATTAGTGTATAGTCACCATTCTTTGAGGTCTGCTGCTTTAGTCCTTTCCCCAGTCTCTAGTTCTTTGGTTACTGCTACTTAATTAGTTACTGTTGGTTTCAGTTAATGTAGACATGAGGTAAAGCCAAACTGCTTGCTAAAGGGGATCTCAAATGCCAAAAAGCTGCAAAACTTGGTGGACATAGGTTGAATATTTAAGAGCTGTTAGAGTGCACACCACCCACATCAAAGACTCCCATGTTAAGATAAGTTGATCAAGAACTGGGTAAGATTGATACTAATTCACCCACCAACCTCAAGAGAATTTCTGTATGATAAGCTGCCAGAGGCCGGTTCCAGCAGGCTGGGGCAGTCCCTGAAGGATGGACAGTGTCGGCGATAGAATGAGAGAGCCTCGAGATTCTTTCTGGTCGCCAGGCAGGCATCTCTGCTCTGACTGGGGCTCAACTTTATTTTATAAGTAAGTGTTTGGGGGATGGCACAGAAGTGGCATTTGCCTTAGACAATGATTTCTGATGACAAACTTCTTTGATATGTAAAAATTTCCCAGAACATAGATTTGTAGAAGACTCCTGCATAACCTTTATCAATAGTGATTGAGGTAGGGGATTTAGATGCTTATCCTATGGGGAAGGAAGGTACCTTTAGCATACAAGACAATGTTTTTACCATAAAAATGGTGAAGTTAGTTCTTTGTGGGCAGGGGTCAACAGCTTGTTTGTTTAAGGTGAAGAATCAAAAAAACAGGTCTTTCAGGAAACACAACGTTTGCTCCCATAATCACAAAAGAAGAAATTCCTACAATAGGTTCCTTCACAGGCAGCAATCAGCATATTCAAGGCCAGAATAAGTCACTCCAAATACTGATCACAAATGCCTTGGGAGGGCCGATGCTCCAAGTAGTACCAACTGGGTGGGGGTGGATATCTGTCCTTAACTCTAAATTAGGCTCTTTGTCTCAGGGCCAGACTCAATTGTAACTCTTGTGTTCTTAGCCCCCTTTATTACCTAAGTCTTGGATCTGCAAGGCTCATAGGAAGAGCTTTTTGACAATCATCCACAGTGCTTTCATCTGAAGTCTCTTTTGAAAAGGCAAGAATATGCTTTTCCTTATGAGCAATCTATATAGAGAATATCGGTCTGATCTGGAATATTGTGAGGCCTGGTCAATACCAGCAGCCTCATTTCCAACATGAGCCAGTAGTAGCAGACGGAGATACCAGTTTTTGTTTCTCATGGCAGGAGCTGTGCAAACGCTGCCATTTCCTTGCTGTGACTTTAATTCAGTGAGGCCGGTACGGCTCCCAGCAATAAGCTACACCATGAAACAGCACATAACCCCTACTCTGCAGCACATCATTCTTAGATATTAATCTGGCACCAAAGAAACACAAAGGTTTAGCTAAAAAAAATAATAATAAAAATGGGAAACTTTATAAAGGGTCAAGTATACCACCCTCCAATATACATGCTTACCTTATATCTAAAAATTATTGCCTCAGAAGCAATAAATATCTACAGTAGTGGCATAATTTTATTCAGCTTATTTTGTTTCCTAAAAGAATTTGGCTTGGTAACATTATGTTGGGGGCCCTAAAACAAGGCGGGACAGAAATATCAGTTGCACCCCATTTGTGGCTAGAGGTGGCTGGAGAGAAATGTGAGTTCAACTCCCACTGGCGCTCAGGCCACCAAAGTGCTGCCAACCCTCAGTGGAATTATAACCTAAAATCACAATGGCCATTATGAGGAATATTCCTATTAGATATGGTCACTTAAGAAGGGCACTTAAAAGAAAGATTTCAAAATTCCAAAAATAGCTTTATTAAAAGTTTTGTCACAAAAATCTGATAAAAAATGAAAAAGACACAAAAGTTACCTAATACAAAAGACTTATGAAAATTTTACCGCTTCCCTCTATCCCCCTTTATCGGAATCCTCATTCTGCTTCTCTTCTATCTAAATTGCTTTTACAGGACTGTAAACAAAAGTCCAGAGACTCTGAGGGATTATCCGGTGAAAGCTATGTCACTCCTTTATTTATTTATTTTTTTTGCAAATAGTTTATTGTCAAATTAGTTTCCACATAACACCCAGTGCTCATCCCCACGAGTGCCCTCCTCCATGCCCATCCCTCCGTCCCCCTTACATCCATCAGTCCTCAGTTTTTGTCAGCATTCAAGAGTCTCTCATGGTTTGCCTCTCTCCCTTTCCCCCACCATTTCCCCCCTTCTTCTCCCCCTTGTTCCTCCGTCAAGTTCCTCCTAATCCTCCTATACGTGCAAACATATGATATTTGTCCTTCTCTGCCTGACTTATTTCGCTAAGCCTAACACCCTCAAGGTCCATCCATGTTGCTACACATGGCCAGATTTCATTGTTTCTCATTGCCATGTGGTATTCCATGGTATAGATAAACCACATCTTCTTGATCCATTCTTCCGTGGCTGAACACTTAGGCTCTTTCCATGTTTTGGCTATTGTAGAGAGTGCTGCTATGAACATTGGGGTACATGTGCTCCTATGCCTCAGCATTTCTATATCCCTTGGGTAAATTCCTAGCAGTGCTATTGCTGGGTCAT